GATATATTTCTAACAGTGCATTGAACACTTGTTTCTAGTTAATAGAAATAATTTTGTATTCAAAATAGCTGTAATTCAATCAGTGATAGTCTGTATAAAAAGTATTAAGATATGAATGAAATCTGTCAGATGTGCTGATTACACTCAGAGATGAAATATGAAAGTATTTACATTCATTGCATAGTAATCTGTAAAGATGAATCAATAACATATATAAAGACTCACATTTTTCTTTTTCTTCTTTTCTTCTTTCTTCTTCTTACAACAATAATACATCACAAAGATTATTTTCAGCTCACTCAGCTCACTCTGCTCTTCTTCATCTCTCAGTCTGATTAGTATTCTGTCAGTTGTAATAGAAAGCTTTTAATCAGAAAAGTTCTAATCAAGATATCTTGTCTGTATAGTATACTAAGAATATCAGTAATTTATCATATCAGTATTAATCACAGTAATAACAACAGCAGCAGTACTAATCACAGCAATAACAATAGTAGTAGTATTAAAATAATAAGTAACACTCTCAAGTGTACCTGTGCTGCTGCTGTAAAGACTCAAGAGAAGAAAACAAGCAGCTGTCTGAATACTCTGACAAAGCAGTCTGATAAATGAACAATGTATAAGTACTATTATTATTATTATTCTTCAATTATAGATGTATGCAGTCAGAGACTATGACATCTACCTGAGAACTTTAGTTCTCAGGGTTTTTTCTATGTCTGTAAAGTTAACTATTGTACATTCATCAATTTCAGATATGCAAAATCAGAAAATTCCAGCCCAGAATACAAAAACTGTTTACAAATTGCAGTGTTTTAACCTCTTTTGATACTTTGTAACCATTTGACAATATCATGACAAAAGAAAAGAGAGAAAGAACACAGTCTCAAAGATAGACACATTAAATAGATAGATAGAAAGAAATTGAAAGAAAAAGATACAGAAAAAGAAAAAGTAAAGAGAGACTATAACAAAACAAATTCTTAAAAGAGAGTGTATAGCTGTTTTAACAGACTATATCTGATTGATTTCCTCCTCTTCATATTCAGATAATTCTGAATTTAGCCATTTTCTTGTAGCTGCTTGAGTTTCTGATAGAAAGTCTATTAAGTATTTAATTCCTGTCTCAGTTGAGAATAAGAATCTCATATTTAATTGATTTAGATCATACTTCTCTTTCAATCTGGCTCTGAGACTATTGTATAATGCACAGTGCATTATAATATGCTCAGGATTCTCATTTGTATTGCAGAATGAGCATTCTATTGAGTCAAATCTATCATCAAATCTTTGTATATAAGATTTGAAATAGCCATGTCCTAGTTTCAGCTGTATTATAGATGAGAATATTTTCTTTTTACATTTAATTGAACAAGATTTCCACTTGGGTTTTGTTTCAAATCTTGAATAATGTATACTCTTCTTTTGTTTCTGCCAGCTTTCATTCCACTTGTCTAAACAAGATTCTTTTATTTTTCTCTTTATAAAAGACCAGGACACAATTTTTTGAATAGATCTGCTTAATTCTGCACCCTTTTTTGCAGCTGAATCAGCCAATTCATTGCCATGAATATTCATATGAGCAGGAACCCAGTGCAGATGAATTCTCAGCTTTGATGTTCTTCTCTCTTGAATTTTTAAAACAGAGTTTAAGATCAGTTCAAGATTCATTTGACCATTATGAATCTGACTATTTCTAAGTCTTTTTAAAGCAGCTTGACTATCAGAGAATATCCATGCCTCTTTCAAACAATTTCCTCTTTTATGAGATTTTATTTCAATGAGTTTGAAAGCTTTCACTATTGCAAATAGTTCAGCATCAAAGACTTCACATTCAGAGCCTAGATTCCAGAAATCTGAGATAAAATTAATATTATCTTCAGTATAAGCAATGCCTGCGCCCAATCTGTTCAAGTTCTCATTTTTTGAGCCATCTGAATAAATCAGAATAGAGTCTTTTATATTGATTGTAGAAATTCTCTTCAAATGCTGTTCATATTCTTTCTCTTTTGATAGTTCACTTATTTGTAAGTCTATAAGAGATTCAAGCTTTTTTCTCCAGGGAGATAACTTCTCATGATCAACTTTTTCAACATTTAAAGAAGAAAATTGATTTTTAATCAGAGAGCATAGTCTGTACAGTTGAGAAGGCATTTTCTTTGAAGAATTATTTTCATTCCAATCAAGAAATCTATTCCAATCCAGTTCATTTCCAGAGTTAATTGGTGGAAATGAAGAAGAGACTCTTTCTCTGATTATATGATTTGAGCTCATCTTTACAACTCTCAGAGCATAGTTCATACAGGCCTTTTCAAATCTAATAGTAGGAGGAGGAATTGAAGCTTCAATTTCCATTGCTTTAATAGGAGATGATTTAAATGCTCCCAGAATTCTTCTCAAGGCTCTGTTTTGCAGACTTTGAAAGAGTTCAGTGAAATTCCCTTGATTATTCCACCAAACTTGAACTCCATAATCAGCTACTGATGTAATACAGGCTATATATAACTGTCTCATAGCCTGGAAGGATAGACCCCTCTCTGTATTTGATAGTCTGATTATGTTGTTCAATAGTCTTTCTGCCTTGACAGTTCTTTGTTGAATGTGATATTTAAAATTCAACTTGGAGTTTAACCATACTCCTAACCATTTGACATTTACACTGGGTTTAATCTCTCTATTTAAAAGAGTTAGAGATAGTTCTTTCTCATTGAATCTAGGAAAGAAATGAATTAACTCAGTTTTATCCATATCAAATTGAATTTGATTGATATCTGCTCTAACAAAGATTTCCTTTGCAGCTTCTTCAATTACTTTCAAATTCTCTTTGATAGTTTTTGAGCTGTAGACTAGACCAATATCATCCACATAACTCGGAGATCGCACTATTCTCATATTTCTATTTTTGAATAGATATGCAGTGTATATTGCAAATAAAATGGGTGAGATTGGAGACCCCTGTGGTACTCCTATTTTTATCTCAGTCTTGTCTTGTTTCATTCCATCAAAGAAGAGTTGTATAATTCTTTTAGACATAAAACAGTTAACCCATTTTATTAGGGAAAGAGGCAGTTTTAATATCTTCAATGTCTGAATTAACTTTGACTTTGAAACATGATCAAACGCTCCTTTTATATCAATAAAAACTGCAGTTGAGACCAGACCCTCATGCTTTGCTATTTGAATATCATGAACAACTGAGAGAACAGTGTCAATTGCAGAACACTGTTTTCTACCTCCCATTTGTTCACTGAATAAAAGAGAATCATCTATAGAGCTTATAAAAGATAGTCGAGTAGCTATTATCTTTTCTAAAACCTTTCCTAAACAGTTCAATAGAGATATTACTCTATATGACTTAGGAATTGAAGTTTTTCTATTAGGTTTTGCAAGAATCACTCCAGTGGCTTCTCTCCAGCATTCAGGATGATATCCATTTTTCAAGAGATTGAAAAAGAGCTCAAAATATTCATTCTTTAAGTAGGAATATGTATTTTGAATAATCAAGTGATTAATTGAATCTGGACCTGCAGCAGTTTTAACAGAACTTGAGAAGATAGCTGACTCTAATTCATCTTGTGTAAGATCAGGCCATTCCCAGTCATTTTCATCAATGTAGTTGAGAAGTGATATATTCTCTTCCTCTGAATCTGAATCTGAATCTGGTGAGTTCTGAAAGAGAATTCTCATGAAAGCTTGACATTTTTCCTCAAAAGAGTTTGCTGTATATGATTCATTCTGAAACTCATATTCTAGAGCTGGAAGTTTTGCTACACTTCTTGTTTTAGTATAGTTAAAAGCTTTAAAAACTTCCTTCCCTTGTGCTTCTTCAAGAAATTTATTCCAGCAGTCTGTTTTAGCTCTTTTAATATCTGAAAAATATTCATTTCTGACAGTTTTGAACTCTTCATCAGATATTATATCATTCTTCCAATCTCTTCTAGCAGTAGCTAATTCTTTTCTTTTAGATGAGATATTCTCATTCCACCAAGGTTTTGAATACTCAGAAGATTTTCTTTTTGGAATATTATCTCTAACACTTGTTAGAATGATAGATGTAATAAGCTTCACTCTATTCTCAAGCATTTCATTTGAGATATCTTGACCAGAATTCCAATATAGCTCATTCTGTCTTTCAGATTTTAACAGTTTTATGCTTTCTTCAACTGCTTTCCAATCAGCTTTTTCAAAGTTATACTGATTAGAGAGAAGAGGATTTTCACTCATTTGTTTTTCACTCAGTTCAATATCAAATTGAATAATCTCATGACCTGATCCTGATGTCTCATTTGAATCAATAAACCAGTTTACAAGTCTTCTTTCCATTAGATTTTGTGACATGAATGTTAGATCTATAATAGACTTCTGTTTCATGCCTTTTCTAAAGAATGTTTGTTGATCAGACTTATTAACCAAATCTATTGAATGCTCAAAGGTCCATTCAACCAGATTATCAGCTCTCACTGCTCTCTTGCATTCTGAATTCCACCAGGGATGATGTGCATTGAAATCTCCTGCAATTATAGAGTTTCTTGATGGAGTTATGTTCAGAAATCCTCTATCAATTGTCCAGATATTGTTATTTTCCTTCAATGACTTTTCATTATAGATATTTATGAGCTGTATAGTATCAAACTCATTTTCTTTATCTATAATATCACCCACCAGAATATCAGGGTCAGACATGATATCAAATCTTAGATTAAATTGATATCTTGATCTCTTTCTTCCATAGATCACTACTCTTGACTTTATCTCAGACTTTTGAGGTAAAAAGCAGTAGTAGCTTGAATGAGAAATGACATATTTTTGCTCAGCATCAAAATTCGGCTCCTGAAGCAGTACAAAATCAACTTTTTGTTCAAATGCAATTTGAAGACAAGAATAAATGCAATTTGAGTTTCTATCCACATTATTTTGAATAAATGTGATTTTTGAAGAGTTTTTAAACTTTTTTTGTTGTTTTTGTTGTATATTCATACTAAAAGAGAGTAGAGAAGAATCTAATCACTATCATCAGATAGTAGATTATAACTGTTCTGAAAAGTAGGAATCTCAACTGCTTGCATTATATCTAGTTTATCACCAGAGTCATTTCTCAATTCTCTAATCTTAACAGGAGTTTGAGGATTCAAATTCTGTTTACATTTTGCTGGAGAATTGGAGTTTGAAGACTTAGATAATTGAGAGTTTCTTCTTTTTGAGCTTGCAGTTGTGAGTTTACTGGCTTGACTCTTCTCTTCAGTTCTAGATTGACTTTGAGCTTCATCTTTTCTCCAGTTCTTTTGAGTTCTAGGAGCAAACATACATTCTTTAGAGCTAGATGCATGTTTTTCTTTACAATTAGAGCACTTAAGCAGAGTATGTTGACAAATTTCACCTCTTTTTGAGCATGTTTCACATTTATGCTCACTAGTTTTGTGATCTCTGGCACAGAATGCACATTTTGAGTCTCTAAAACATGAGATTGCAAAGTGTCCATATCTTTGACAGTTTGAACACTGTGTTTGAGCTTTGAGATTCACTCTTGAGTCTTTGTATTCATGAACTCTCATTTTCAAACCTGCTACTCTTACTTCAGAGATCTTTGACTGTTCAAGGGTTTTTGTATATACTAGAACAGAGGCATTTCTCCTGCTTTGTCTGAACTCAATTGAATTTAGCCATACAGGCTCCTTTCTCAGTTGAATGGAGTTGTATTCTTCCAATTCATTTTTGAGAAGTAGCATTCCTTCTTCACAGTCAAAAATTTCAACTGGAATATCATGAAGAATGAATTTGCCCCACTTTTCATCTCTTTCAGATAGAATTGTTGTGTTTAGCAATGATTCTACTGCTGACTTCCAGAGATTCTCATTCTGAATAAGGAATTCAGCACTGAATTCAGGCATTGTAGTCAGAATAATAGAGTTTCCAAAGAATGATGGCTCAATTGAAGCTATAACTGGTTTTTGAACTTCAATATCAGTCATCAACTGAGAAAAGAACTGCTGATTAATTTCATTTCTGATTCTGAAAATGAGATTTGAGTTTAGCTTGTTTCTTTGCAGAATGTCCTGGTTTGAGACTTTGAGAATGAGTCTTCTATTTCTAGAGATTTGGAAGTTTTTCTCTTTTTGCATTTTCTTTTCCACTTTTCCATGAATAGAGGCATGAGCAGTATTCTTCTCAGTTTTCTCAGGATTTTGAGCAGGTTTTGAGACAGCAGGTTTAGAGACAGCAGATTCAGCTGCTTGAGCATATGTTTTCTTCTGATTCAAAGAAGAAGAAGGAGTAGGAAGAAAGGAAGAAAAAGAGTAAGATGAAGAGTCAGTGATTGTACTAGGAATTTTCAAGGTTTTTTGAACTGTGTTTGAGATTCCAAGTTTGAACTTGATCACCTCCTGTAGTTGTCTGGCCTGAGCATGAAGAATTAACAGAACTTCTTCATTCATCTCACTCAGACACTGCTTTCCAAGAATCTTGCTTGCTTTTTCAAGTTCCTGTATTTCAAGAACTTGTTGTTTCTCTATTTCTTCTTTCTTTCTTCTCTTCAGAATTTCAATCTCAGGAATAGCATTTGAGAAAGCATCTTTTTCCACATCAACTGAGTGTATTTTTGAACTCATTGTTTTCACTCAATGAAAAGTTGGTCAGACTGTTTCAATTGAGATATTTCTAAGTCTGTTTTCAATTGAAAAGTTGGTCAGACTGTTTCAAAAGAAGAATAAAAGACTTTTGTGTATAAAACACCTGATTTTTTTCACACTAGTTCAGTAACTAGGTTAGATTTTTGAAGAGAATCTAATAAACTAAAATTGATTTTTAAGATAAATCAATAAAATCTTTACAATCTCTTTCTTGGGATACAGTGAGGAAAAGTATGATATCAATTGATAATAAATCAGATGATATGACAGTTTTTGAGAGAAAAACTGACAAAAATAAATCAATTTTTTGCAGAGAAATTGATTAAAACTATTCAATTTTATTCTAAATCATCCAATTCTCCTCACACAACAAGTGTGCAACTCAAATCAGTTAATAAAGAGTGTAAAAAAGAATTAAGTATTAATGAAAGCTCTTCAGCCACTGAAATAGTAATTCTTACTTAAAAGAATATGAAATTATGACAGAAAACAACTCTGTTTTTAATTCTTTGTAAGAATATTGTGTAAAACCCAGAGAAAAACACCTTACTTTTTCAAGAGAAGTAAAAAACTATTTCTAAGATCTTTTTTTTTTTTGCATTAACTGCTGCAGAAGAATGAGATAGAAACTGCTAAGATATGCACTACTGTATACCCCCTACCAAGACTTTCCCTCTTCAGGGTCTTGATATTATAGAGAATATAAGTCTGTTTCTATATGATAATATAAATATTGCCAGCGGGATGTAGAGGAACTGGTTATTTATATCTCAAAATAGAAGACTTTGTCAATGATTATATCAATATAGAGTTAATTCTCAAATTCAATAGAAACCTAGTGTTGCTGTTCTCAATCCCTTGCAGAATCTATTGAATATTGAGGTATTAAAACTAGATTTAATATATCTCACTGTGCAGGGATCAAAGGCTCAGTCAGACCTTGGGGTATACTGATTTTATAGTTGTTGATGTGCTGTTGACTCGTTGTCCACTGGTTATGTATTGAATACTGTTGCCGAGGTATCTTTTTGTATCGTTCTGCTGGGGATGGGCCAGATTGAGAGGGGTAGTACAGGGGTGAGACTTGGTGTTGAAGTCTAGATACACTGGCGGCGGACCGTGGAGGTTGCACTTCAGAAGAGTCCGTTGATTATGTGCTTGATATTATCGCCGAGGTATCTTTTTGTATTTTTCTGCCGGGGATGGGCCAGATTGGGAAGGGCGGTACGAGGGTGAGACTTGGCGTTGGTGTTTTGGAACATCAAAGATGGACAGGGTTTTCGCGGAGGTCGCTCCTCGGATATCTCCACAACTACAGGTCGGGGGTCTTCCAAAATCGAGAAGATTGGTGCATATGGCTAGGTCACTTCACCTTACAATTTGTATGGCACTCTGGCCCGGGGTTGTGGTGTGGTAGGGGAGAACGGGGGATAATCCCACACAGGAGCTTCGAACAACGTCCGGTTCACGTTTGGCTGGATAACTCCACCACCACACGGGGTATGCGGTCGGCGATGGGGTCAAAGTGCTCGTATGATCGAGGGCTTTTCGATGGATCTATCGGCGGGTTCTTATTCGAAAAATCGAGCGAGTTCGTGGTGGAGCGGTTGATGGTATAAGTACTATATTGAGTATATTTTTTCTCATCATTTGAATGCTGCTTATAATAAGATGAAGAGAAGCTCAAAACCTTGTATAAATTACAATTATAAGAAAAAGAGATGCATGATTATCTCTAGACTGACCGTGTGACCGTGTCTGGGACCAGGACCAGATTTTTTGATAGTTTCATTACCAATTCGACTGATCCCATTACATGGTTTTAACATTATATAGTGGTCTCATACTGTCCCAGTGGGACTTACTGTCTACTCTTGTCACATTTTCCAAATGAGACCATGATTTCCACTTCTCATTTTAAATTATTTTTATTGCTTTAAATGACTTTAAATCTCATTTGAGTGTTATCAAAAAGCGTTACTTTTTAAAAAATTAAAAATAGTCTAAAAAAAACCTTAAAATGTCTAAAAATAGTAACTTTATGCCAAGAATGGAACTAAATGAAACCAAATGAGATCACTTTCTCATTTTTTTCAAGTCATGGTTCCATTTTAAGATCTGATATATAGTCACTTTACATGTTTTTTTGATAGCCAGTCCCAGCGGGATTCACGCCAAGAAATGTATGAGATCAGACCAAATGAGATCAAATGTGAAATTCATGGTCTCAGCAGCCAGTCTAATTATCTCTGAAGAATTAAAAGAATAAGTTAATAATCTGATCTGAATTCATAACTTTTATCTTTCTACATCAGATAATTTCAAGAAAATAATAAAGAGAGCTATGTTAAAATCAGTGAAGAATCTTTTAAAATAGATTAAGAAAGTCAAAACTTACTAATAGAAAGTGAAAGCTTAATATATGAAGAGTGTTACTATTGTTCTGAAAACTCTGAATATTATTATCAGTGCTGCTGAAAAAGCTAAAATCAAGATTGAGAAGATTAAGTTGAATATTGAAAGAGTGAAATTAGAAATTGAAAAGAAAAAAGTTGCTGTAGAAAAGAAGAAAATCATGATTAAAAAGATAAAACTTAATATTGAAACTATTAAGCTTGAAATACATTGCAAGCTTTTGAGAATGATAGCTAGTTATATTGAAGAATAAAAATCAGTGATGAAGAATCTCATAAATTTAATAAATAATATTAATACTAAAGCTAGCTATATTATCATTGAGATGTATGAAATAATGAAGTATATTCAAAGACTTACAGATTATCTTGATAAGAATTCAGTTATAGTCAGCAACAGCAGCAGCAGTAATAAGAAATTTAATAACAGTGATAATTCTCTTTCTATCTCTCTCACTGATATCTCTACTACTGCTGTTAATTCTCTTCTCTCTTTCTTCTTCAATCTTTCAACTCTGATTAATTCTCTGACTATGAGTAGTATCAGAACTCTCAACATTCTCAGTGAAAAAGTAAGTTAGAATCAGTGAAATGATTCTCAGATTTATACAGAAGTTGATAATAATATAGATAAGTAAATACACAGCTCTTAATCTCTCTGAAATTCTCTCTTTTAAATAGTGAATGATTATTGACACTGATTCTTCACAAACTTTAATACTAATTCACAAGTTCTCTGAAATAAATGTTGATATGAATATAACAGAAAATGATGATAATAATATAGAGATAATTCAGAGAATTCAGAAGAAATTACAGAGAGATGTGACAGATTTTCAATAGAGAATAATTTCAGTGAATGAGACATTTTTTAGAATTAGTGATTATATAGATAGAAATCAGTGACATTGTCAATACAATGATGATTTTGTTCTGTTCATAACTCATTTACAGTGATTCCATGGCTAATCCACCATTATATTATATTTTACGGTTCAGCGACGGTGTCGGCGACTGGCACGGCGGAACAACCATAATCCGGTCGTATAATAAGCCTACGTTTTTCCGGAATGGTAATATTCGCATTGATATTTGATCATGTGACTCGGCAATGCGGCCTGGCTCTGCCGAAGGGACCCGCCCAGAATGGAAGTTTTACCCGACGAGCAAAAATTACCAACAAGAAAGAAAAAAAAAACCCCAAAATCTCAGCACAACGCTTCTCTACCAAACGATGAGATTGACTTCATAAAGTTGGCAACCATGGCAAATAACCGTGGCCGGGTGAAGTCTCTGGCGGAGCAAATTGCTGATTTGGAAGATCCAACTCCCAAAGGTGAGCCCGCATTCTCTGCGAAATTTTCTTTCCCTGAGCGGCCAACTAACACCACCTTTAGATTTCGATCCAGAAGATTTAAATGACCGCGCGGAAAGCAGCGACGATCAGTCTTCTGGAGCGGAGGATGATAATGCTAACGCCGGTCGAGAGCATTACATAGCTGTTGGGTGAGTGACCCTGCTACAACTCAAACTGCATCTACAGCTAAATTTTTAACTAACCCCCTCAACAGAAAGAGCAAGCTCCGCGAACCAGAGAAAGTAACTCTCGGGCGCGAATATGCTGGCTCGCGAGTTAGTCGAGAGGCACTTGAAGGCTACGAGAGTGAAGATGATCCATTCCGCAAAGATTCAAGCGACGAGGACGCGTCATGGTTATCTGATGAGCTTGATGGATTGAAAAGTGGAGACTTGGGAGAAGATGATTCAGATGCAGAATCCGAGGATATGGATAATGCGCTGGGGTCTGATAAAGAGCTAGACGGAGCAAGTGATTCTGAAAGCGATCAGGGATTTGGCGATAGCAGTGATGACGAGGGTGAAGATGATCAAGGAGAGTCTGAAAGTGAAATTTCTGGAGACGAAGACGATGATGAAGATGAAGATGATAAACAGGAGGACGGCCCCGCCCTATCAGACGACCGGGCTGAAATAAGACGACTCATGGCCTCAGATCACAAAACTGTTGCAGCGTCACTATCTCAAGCAGCCAAAGCAGATGCTGCGAAGGGGAGGTCGGTCAAGCGTCAGCGGTCAGCTTTCGGCGCCATATTGAACGCACGTATCAAACTTCAGAAAGGAATTACATCTCTTAACGGTCTATCATCTACGTTAGAGGATGATAATGCAGCTCACCAGTCCTCGATCCAGTCCGCTGAAGCTGCGGCACTAGCTCTTTGGAGTACGATCGAAGATCTTCGACATGCACTTGCTAATGCCCAAACCAGGAACACCACCTCATCATCTAAAAAACGAAAACGAGGCCCGCCTCCTTCCGCCTCCACCTCGTCAGCCGATATTTGGCATCGCATGGAGGAAATCGAAGCACAATCACGACTTCACCGTCGCGCTGTGCTTGATAAATGGGCTTTAAAAACACGTGGTTCGAGAGCTGCACTACCGAACGCCAGAGGCAAGCTACTGAATCACGGGGCAACCGACCAGCAAACAATAACCTCCGTGCTGGATGCCCACATTGCCACCCAACTTGATAGCCGCTCATCCAAACGCACCTTTACAGAGGACGTCCAAGAACGCCAACAAACCAACGGTACCTCTAATGGCCCCCACGAAGTAAACGAAATGTACGACGACTCCATCTTCTACCAGACTCTACTCCGCGACCTTGTGGAAGAACGCATGTCTGCCAACAACGGCATCGAGACACTGCAGATGCAACTTCCCTCCCTCCTTGCTATCCATCCTACCACCGGGATGCGCAAGGATAAGGTTAAAAGAGCTGTAGATACCAAGGCCTCCAAGGGCCGTAAGATGCGGTATACTGTCCACGAGAAGCTGCAGAATTTCATGCCTCCGGAAGACAGAGGCACATGGGGGGATAGCGCGCGGGAGGAGTTCTTCGCTTCGTTGCTAGGAAAAAGTGCGAGGGATGTTTTGGGTGAGGATGATGAGGATGAGGACGAGGATGTTGAAGAGGGAGGACTTAGACTTTTCCGGAGTTAGGAAATGGCGTAGAGATGACTGATACTTCTCTTGGTTGTGTTAAAATTTATTTGTCTACTATCTGCTCTATTGTTATCGAGCGTCGAGCTACTAATATCTATATATCTGCTCTGCTACCAATGCAACTCCCATACATATCCAGCGATGGCCTTTCCCAAACTACATAGATAAAGTCTTAAAAGGATTGGAAACCTTTGCCGGATAAAAATAATAAGCCAACGGATGCCGGTAGTCGCCTGAATGCTGCATTACCCCTATTTATTTAAAGTTAAAAGACCAGCCCACCGCCTAATAAAATAATATTAATTAGAAGAAGCTCATCTTCAAATAACCTTCCCAAAAAGAAACACATATTGAGGTTAAAAGAAAGGAAAATGGAAAAGATTACTCACCATCATCAACAATATCCGCCCCATTCACGTAACTCCGCCACCTCGCTACACAAAAACACCACGGGACTTGCCATCTCCCGGGGATCCCCCATCCTCCCCATGGGATTCCTATCGGCCCATATTTGGCGACATGGTGCCAACGCATCGCCCTCATTGAGTGCCGTGTCCATGTAGCCCGGAGAGATGGAGTTGACATGGATGCCGTACTGACTCCATTCTGCTGCGAGAGAGGCACGGAGCTGCAGAATGCCGGCTTTGGAGACGTTGTAGGCGGCCTGGGGTTGCGGGTAGTTTACGCGGTGGGCGCTGATGGAGGAGATAAGAACGACACGCCCGCCGCTGGCATCGGAGATCATGTGTCTGGGCAGTTTGAGGGCGCATCTATGTGGGGAACGGCGAGGGAAGGGAAATCCTTGCGGAGAGCTTGAGAGACGTTCGTTTTCTCGAAAGCGGAAGGGAGGTCTAGGAGAGCCTGTGTAATTCATATAGAGGTATCGGAATTATCATGCTTCGTTTATATATATGACAAACACAAGGAGTAGCTTTTTTAGCGGCAATGATTAAGGGGTACTAGGATGTAATATCATAGGATGAATTCCGGGGGTTAGAGCTGTCACAATAGCAAATAATATATTTATAATATACATATTATATAGAAAGGGACATGCAACCACCTACATATTGAATTAACCCCTGACAGTAAACATCAACCTGGCACACTCGGCTCGGGGCAGGACGCATTTTGCATGAAAGATTCGTTCGACTGTGTGTCCTTGTTGCCAAAATGTATCCATGGCATGTGTTTGTGATGGGTAGTTGGGGTTAGTATGATGATCCATGGTGATGTATGTTCCATGTATGTACGCTGTATATAAAGGGAGTTTCAAACAAATTGGCTGTTCGCGTCAGACCTTTTCAGGACGTCTTTCCTGGCCCAGCCAGTGGCCGGTTCCCTAGACAAAGTTGGAGATGGATGTGGAGATGTCATGGCTACTGGTGGCGGATTCAATGAACTACTAATGATATACCAAGTGAGTGGACGAGGTCGCATGAAAGGAGGATTACCGTTTAGTGAGCGTAATGGTTACGTCCACTTAGGACTATGAGAACTATGAGATTGCATACGCAGTCAACAGAATTCACATATCCAAGTAATTCATGTGACTATCTGACTATGCATTGTTTATTCTATATGCGCTAGTTTGAAGTTTTGACTACCTACGTATCATACATATCCAGATTGGTTCACCGTCAAAGTACAGGCTATATAAGCTTCGGTTTTTCACAAGCAACTCGAATAGCCCTGCTCCGCCAGGCCCGTGATAAGCCCAGGAACAGTCATTGCAGCATATGGGTCTGACTAGAAAAATTCCATTGCATTTTCATTTGATCAGATAGATTCATTAAATTAAAACAAAAACAAAACACGGGATATGGGAAAGGTTTTGGAAGGGGGGTTACAAATGCCACCTATCGAGAACGCACGAATTGAATACCCTTTATTTGAAAACGCCTTCGAAAAGCAAGAAAAGGAATCTGGTCGAATATTTAATGTCAATGACCCCTTCCCTGCCATCGGATTGGTTGGTAACACAGTAAGGAATCTGCTCGAGAGACCATGATACGAAGTTAGCGATGAGAGTGTAAAGTAATAAAAGACAAGTCCTCGTCAGAAAAGGCAAAGGAGACCGGGGAAAGTGAAAAGAGGTATGTCTGAGCAACAAAAAAAAAATGGTAAAAAGAAGTCCCCCATATCTAGCGCCTGAGAACACCCATGTCGAGCCAAACGTATGAGAAATAAGACTTAAAATCAATAGTCGTCTTCGGCTTGTTGATAGATATGCCGGCTTCTCGTTGGATCTTTGCGCATCTGTTGGCCAGAGCCAGTGAAGCCAACTATAGTAGAGACACAAATGAGTTAGCATATTTCAAATTTGAAAAGGATACCGCGTCAGGGTACGTGGCTTGACAGCTAATGTTATATAAAAGAGGGTATAAGGAATTTCTCACCTCGTGCGTTGATCCCTTCAGGAGTCCGAAACATGCTCTCCTTCTTCCCAACCTTTCCTAACTTGCTCTTAGCCGCGAAGTCCTGCCATTTGCTCTTGCCAGCCTCCAGTTCCTTATTGGCTCTGACTTTCCGGGGCATCTTCGCTGGGCGCGTTGGGCCATCGCCTGGTTTGCTTGGCTCCTTGCGCGCCTGGGTGGCCAGAGCCGGGTTGATATCCGCCGCAGCAGAAATCACGCTAGAATTGGCAGGAAGAGCCTGTGGGGATGTGGAGCCTGATAGTCCATCAGCCTTACGTTTTCGCGTTTCAGTGATGGGTTTAATATCCCTGGACGTTAGGGTTTCAGTGGTCCCATATGACTTGAAGGAAACTATGTAGATGGGGTTGGTGGATGAGCCGGTTATGGATGTGATGCGAGCCGGATAGAATGAGTTATCTCCCGACGCCCATCGGGCTAGGACGTTGTCGTTTACGGAGAATGATACAGGAGGCGAGGGCTGGGGTTCTTCGGGCGGAGCGGGCTCAACAGTCGGTTTTCGGTAACCCGCTTGGTATGCTGGATGGTTCTCTTTCGACCATTTTTCCTTAGCGGGAGGAGATGAGGGTTTCGATTTCTGCGGCACAGGTCGTAGCTCTGAAATGGATTGCTCCGTGAGGGATATGAATTCTTCAAGTTCAGTCTTCAGTCCCTGCAGTTCGGCATTATCTGGATCTACCTGCAAACTCGATTGAACTGCCTCGAGCTATGGGATAAGTTAGTACAATTAAAGCTCATCTCTGGAATTTGTAAGTACAAAGGAACTTTAGAACTGGACACAATAAAGTAAATGAAAAGAAGAGTATCGCGATCACATACCTGTACCTTGAATTCCTTCACTTCAGCCTCAAGGGCGGCGACTTCCGTGTTCATTTTAAAACGAGTAAAGCGTTTGGTACGTTCAAAAAATAGGGAGCACAGGTCAGATACGAAATCAAGAAATGTGTTTTCTTAACAAAAATATAAAGAGTAAACTGGACCGACAACTTTCCAGGGTAAACGGGGCGCTGACGAGAGTGATAAAGAAATGCAATGATGATGAGTGAAGGCGGTCAAAATTAGCGTGATGATCACGTGATAATTCCGCTGTCAAACTAGGTATGTTCGGCATGCCGAGTTAGACTGGCCTAGACATTAGGGCGTGTTCGGTTGCACAGTTAACCTCTGTTAACCTCTGTTAAAAAGGTCCACTTAACAGACCCTACCCGCGGTATTGAAATTACCTACCTGAAAAAGGCCTTGCGTTCAGTCTGCCATCATTATAACCTCCACTTACCTGTGATTAGAGTTCAACAGTGTAATTAGACCAAATAGTGGATAGTTGTAACTCAAATAGGCAAGGTGAGTGTGGTGTAAGCTTGTGTAAAGCTGTCACTGCCTGCCAGCACCCAGGTGTTTTGCAGACTCAGTTTTACCTCAGATAAGTGAGGCGGGCCGGATTCCTTCTCATCATCATATACAGAGTATATATATATATATCTTCTTGTTGAAAACTGTCAGGGATATGACAATTGATGCTGTGGCGGGCTGCGCCCGATCAATCATATAGACTATTCCATTACACTCCACAGATTCCTACCGCTCCGATTCTCGGTCGCCGATCCTCGGCCGAAAACCTACAGAATTCCTATTCTTCCGCCCCGAAGCTCCACCGCGCCCTATTCTTCCGCTCCGAAGTTCCACTGCGTAACGCCACCATGTACATGTATAAATATTCACTCCAATCAGATTCCCACACTTTCTCTTTCTTTCCTTCTCTAACATTTTTCACTTTGTTATATAAGACCTATATATTATACCGATCTATTCAGTGTAGGCCTCTCACACTTGAAAAATGTTCATCATCTTCTTATTAGAAATGATTATCCACATATCATCTCCTCATTAGAAATGATTATTCATCAAGAGATATTCAAATGTGTGACAATGTGTAAGAAAGAGAAACACAGTTAAGCAGACACTGAGTTCTCAGATAGAAGCTTGCTCATCAGTCACTCTAACCCTGTAATAAGATCTTACAAAGAGAATGTTAGTGAAAGACTTGAGAGTTCTGACACTCAGATATATGAGATATTTATATAATTACACTTCTTCAAGATTTCACAGATATTATACACTCAATGAATGACATGTCTAATGATAATATGAGAGAACTCTTGAATACAAGTATAGAAGTGATATCACAGTGACTTCAGATAATGTTAAAACTATAACAATAATAGATAGCTGACATGTATATTACTTAACAGCTTCAATATAAGAAAATTCAATAATTAACTTAATAAGAAATTCATGTAATTTCAACATCTTCAGAATTAAATATAAAAGTACTGAAAGAATACTTAGATACTTCTATATATTTCAATACTTCTAATCTCACTCTCTACTCATTATAAAGAATGAAGATACTTGTGAAATTAAGTATGAATAAATGTCACACTCTCAGCCGTGTCAAGACTCTGTTGCAGTTTCACACAGCTCATCACTTTCATACAGATGATTTCATTCTGTTTAAACTGGTTTTCAATTACTCTATAATATCATTCAGATATATTATAGAAAGATCTGATTGATAAATATGAGAATCTCACTTCTATACAAGATTAGCAGATTACTTTTTCTTAATAGTAAGATACTGCTGAGATATTACTTCAGCTATTCTTACTTATAAAATGAAAGAAGAGTATTCACTTATTATTTATATAGAATAACTAGATGCTGACTTCTTATAAAAGAAGTCAGTGATTCATTTTTCTTCTACTGAAATATATATAAGAGTTACTATGTATCTTATACAATCTTCTTAGTATACTAAGTATTATATCTGTGATATTCTTATAATAATTCTGTAGTCTATAAGCTTGCTATTTAAGCAAGATAGTCAAGCTCACTTATACAGCTTTTTAAATAACTATCTCTATATAATACTGCTGACTAGTCACTACTTCAGTTTTATTATATTATAATTTAAATCACTCAATCTGATTATAAGTTTAAATCAGTTAAGCTTTAACAGACTAATATAATCTTATATATCTATACTGAGACTGATCTGATCTCACTCTTTAAAAGAAATACTATATTATCTTCTAGAGTGTGTACATCTCTACTTTAATAGAAATCTGAGATTTCTGAACCTACTGTATATTTTGATATGAGCTCTTCAACTGCTCTGCTATTATCACAGTCTCTATATATTTACATCTATTATAAAGATAGAGAGATTAAGATTGAAGATTCTTCAAGATATAAGAGAAATATCTTATCTGAATTTCACAGCTTTATCTATATTATTAAATAGAAATTCTGCCTTAATCTGAGTCAGTATAATACTTATAAGATATAAGTAATATACACTGCTAATCTTCTTGAAGACATCTCTGTAACTACTTGAGTTATTAAGAAGAGAGAGCTTGAGTATATTAATACTATTATAACTTAGAAAGAATTCAAGAACTTTCTACTGAATTAAATTAAAGATTATTATAATTATAACTTCACAGCAGTACAGTGATTCAACTCATTATATTAATAAAATAATGAGAATTCTTTCAATTTCAATATAAGATTTGAAGAATATTAAGAGAAATTAACTGATAATTTAAATTAATTAAAAACACAGCTTTATCTTATAAAGCTGACTAGACTGGCCGCTGGGACCATGAATTTCATGTTTGGTCTCATTTGGTCTGGTCTCATACATTTCTTGGCGTGAATCCCGCTGGGACTGGCTATCAAAAAAACATGTAAAGTGACTATATATCAGATCTTAAAATGGAACCATGACTTGAAAAAAATGAGAAAGTGGTCCCATTTGGTCCCATTTAGTCCCATTCTTGGCATAAAGTTACTATTTTTAGACATTTTAAGGTTTTTTTTAGACTATTTTTAATTTTTTAAAAAGTAATGCTTTTTGGTAATGCTCAAATGAGATTTAAAGTCATTTAAAGCAATAAAAATAATTTAAATTGAGAAGTGGAAATCATGGTCCCATTTGGAAAATGTGACAAGAGTAGACAGTAAGTCTCACTGGGACAGTATGGAACCACTATCTAATGTTAAAACCGTGTAATGGGATCAGTCGAATTGGTAATGAGACTATCAAAAAATCTGGTCCTGGTCCCAGACACGGTCACACGGTCAGTCTAAAGCTGACTTATAAGATGTAGATAATAATATTATAATATCAGAGTTTATTAATTAATTACACTGAGCTTGTCAATCTGACTTCTCAGATCTATTTAAATAATTAATTCTCTGAGAAAAAGACTAATAAGATTTATTCTAAGTAATTAATAATAGAATCTAAACAGCACTGTAACAGCTTCAGTGTGAAGAAAGTAAAGAAGAATTTCAAGTATTCTAATTCTTCACTCACTGTGAAGAAATATTAAAAAAGATTTAATAAAAATCTCTATTTCAACTGCAGAGCTGATAATCACTATATCAGTAATTATGAGAAACTGAAGAAGAGAAGAAACTGAGAAGATATCTTCTTAAAGTTAACTTCTCTTCTGATAAATATATCTATGAAAGATAAAGAAGAGAAAGAAATGAAAAATTAATAATTCTTATATCTCTGAGTTTATATTACAATTACAATGTATATTCTGAATGAGAAGATATCAGTGAGATATCTACTCAACTTCAGAGTAAATATTAACTTCATATTCTATTTCTTTTCTTTAATAAAGAGTTGAAAGAAGATATATCTATTGAATTATATAAAATTTACTGATAAAATAAAATATCATCATTTTAGTATAATTCAAGTGAAGTATATGATTACAGATAGACTGGCCGCCGGAATCATAAATTTCACATTTGATTTCATTTGATCTGGTCTCATACATTTCTTGGCGTGAATCCCGCTGAGACTGGCTATTAAAAAAACATGTAAAGTGACTATATATCAGATCTTAAAATGAAACCATGACTTGAAAAAAATGAGAAAGTGGTCTCATTTAATCTCATTTAGTTTCATTCTTAGCATAAAGTTACTATTTTTAGACATTTTAAGGTTTTTTTTAGACTATTTTTAATTTTTTAAAAAGTAACACTTTTTAGTAACACTCAAATGAGATTTAAAGTCATTTAAAGCAATAAAAATAATTTAAATTGAGAAGTGAAAATCATGATTTCATTTGAAAAATGTGACAAGAGTAGACAGTAAGTCTCACTGAGACAGTATGAAATCACTATCTAATGTTAAAACCGTGTAATGGGATCAGTCGAATTGGTAATGAAACTATCAAAAAATCTAGTCCTGGTCTCAGACACGGTCACACGGTCAGTCTAATTACAGATTTAGAAGAAATCTTTAAGAAGAGCAGTCTGCTTCTTTACATAGTTAATATTATAGATAAGAACATTATTCTAGATCTTTTATAATTGAGAGAAAACAATTCTCTTATCAACTGAGTTACTCAGATATGATTAGACTGACCGTGTGACCGTGTCTGAGACCAGGATCAGAATTTTTGATAGTCTCATTGTCAATTTGACAGATTTCATTACACAGTTCTAACATTAGATAGTAGTCTCATACTGTCTCAGTGAGACTTACTGTCTACTCTTGTCACATTTTTCAAATGGGACCATGATTTCCACTTCTCAATTTAAATTATTTTTATTGCTTTAAATGGCTTTAAATCTCATTTGAGTGTTATCAAAAAGTGTTACTTTTTAAAAAATTAAAAATAGTCTAAAAAAAACCTTAAAATGTCTAAAAATAGTAACTTTATGTCAAGAATGAGACTAAATGGAATCAAATGAGACTACTTTCTCATTTTTTTCAAGTCATAGTTTTATTTTAAGATCTGATATATAGTCACTTTGCATGTTTATTTAATGATTAGTCCCAGCGGGATTCACGCCAAGAAATGTATGAGACCAGATCAAATGAGATCAAACGTGAAATTCATGGTCCTGGCGGCCAGTCTAGATATGATGATATTATCTCACTGATAAAGAGATAGTGATAGAGAAATCTGAAGAGTTTCATTGAAAAAATCTTGAGAAAAAGATAGAGTTAATATACTATATAGCAGATGATTAAGACTTGAGAATAGATGAAGAAGTTATCACTCTCACTATAAGATTAACAGCAGTATTCATTATTAAAGATGAATGTACACAATATTTCTTTATAGATTATAAGAATATCTTTTGAAAAGAGAAGTAGTAAAGTTTTCTGATACTAAGATATAATATAAGATTTATCTTAAAGATAGTAT